TTGTACAGCATTTAACCACTAAGAGGAATATGCAGTGTGTTATTTGTTGAAACTGTACTTCCGATTTGATTTGAAACTCTCTCATTGCTATCTGTTTATCAATAAAACTTTGAAAATAAATAAATAAATAAATAAATAAATATCCAATATAGTGCAGTAGTCCATAATAGTAGTGGGTTATCCATAGGAATGGCAATGTCAGAAGTTGTTGACTTGAGCATTTTACAGCTCAGCATATTAATATGGCTTTAGTTTTATATCTTGTTTTTACACTTTTCTGCTGGATGTTTAAGACCAAGATAAAGCAAGACCTATATAACAAGAAATGTAACTTTTGTATCTGACAAGGTCAGTCAAATCCCCTGGGAATTTACCCTGCAACCCTGTACAGCAGTTTATAGATCTTTTGCCAGTGTCAGCCATGTGGATGAGTCATGGCCATTGCTTGACCAATTTTCTCTCTCTGATAGCCTGAGAAAATGTTTTCTTTCCATGTAACTCTCCTTAGGCACACTCTACATCATAGATTAATTTTCCTCTGGGGCCCCTAATCTCCTTGATCAGAAAATTTGGGACACAATTGTGTTATTTTTACAGATTAGAAGAAGGTAGTTTCAAAGATTTGAATACACTTTTCATAGTTGCCTAGCTATCAGGAGTAAAGCCTTTCCCAGATCTGATCTTCTGACTCCAAATCTTTGTTTCCCAACAGGATATGGCAACAGTGTCACTTGAGAGTGTAGTACCATGGCTTCTCTAGGGGTGGTTTCTTTGCTGTCTAGTTTCGTGGGTCTGATATAGAAGCACAGGGGTTTTTTTTGTTATGTTTTCCTATAGAACAATTGCCTTCTGACCCTTGCCCTTTTCTAAAAACAGAATCCCTTTTCTTGCAGATGCCAGAGTGTATATGCATATTTGAACAGTCACCTGAATCTGATTAAGAAGGCTCGGCCTTTGGGTTACCTGACTGTTGACTTACATGTTTGGCCAGATTTCCATGGCAACCGGTCTCCCTTAGCAGATCTGACACTAAAGGGCATGGTAAGTAACAGCCTGTCCTTGCACAAAAGTGAAGGCAGGTCAAAGGGACAAAGTTTGGAAGAAGCAAAGTGAAGAGAGAAAAAAAGAGGAAAAATAAAACATAACAGGCCACTAGCACAGTGGCCTCTGCAGAAGCACTGCTGGTGGAAAGGCCTTCGCTGCTCCACGACAGTCTGCTGAAAGTTCTCATTGTGCCTGAGCCAGCCTTGAGCGCATCCAGCATAGTATATGTACGCTACTTTTGCTGCTTTGTCCAAGGCAGTTATACCTATGCAATTTGCATATTTACATCAGTTGATAGTCATGTTTGCTATCACTACCTCCAGGCCACCTGGTAAGTCTATGGTAAATATCACTGCCACAGCCACAGTCCTGGAGGCTCTGAGTTAGGGCTCTCAGAATCTATACCAATGTTCTTATGGTTTCAGATTAAAATTTGATAAAAATAAATGCCATTAATACCTTATAGTGTGTAGTAAATTCTATTAGTAAGCTTTAAGGTCATTTGCAGTTTAGCAATTCTGGGCCTTCCTGGAAGGTCCAGAATGAACTTTTTGGGCAAACTTACAACTACCTAATGGCAGTTTTAACATCTTGAAGACCAGGAAGATTAGGTAGCTTGAAGCAGTCTAACCATCCAGAATCATACTTGATAGGAGATGAAACAGGTTAAAGCAAGAGCTGAGTTTGAATTCCAAGGGGCAATGTAAGAAGCCATGATGGCCAAATGCAGGAAGAAGTCAGAAAGTTGAGAATGAAGGGCAAGTAAAAATAAAGGCCACAAGCAAATACTCATAAGTGAAATAAACCAGACTTGCATGTGTAAACATCGTGTTTTCTCCCTAGTATAAGACACTGAAAGTAAATAAGATCCAGTAGCTACAATAATGGAGGCAGAGCAGTGTCCAGAAGGCCATAGTGGCATGGGATTCACTAAGAAGCCTTGTTTTCAGATAACCAACTCTGTGTACAGAGGGGAGGCGAAGAACACATTTTACTGAGATACATGTCAGTGTCATGATGAAACAAACACTTAAGAACTTAGAAGTGAAGAGCCTTCAACATTTCTTCAGATGACCCCAAGGTAGAGCAAGCAGCACACTAAATGATCACCACTCTGGACCCACCCAAATCTATGGTCCCATCTTGCCAATATCTGTTATAACCAGCCCCAGTACCCAGCAGATCAAACACCACAACTCCCTGTGGCTTTTCACTGTTTTTTAAATCCAAACCTGCCATGTGAAGACCTAGAAATTACCATCTTAAGTATGTTCTAATAAAGGTGCTCAATGGCAGATTGTACTTCTAAAGGAGTCTGTGGAGTGCTTTGAGGAATTCCCATCTCGCATGAATAAATACGTAGTCACCAAAAGAGGCTTCTTACATTGGGCTATATGCCCAATTATTTCTAAATCTGCCTGTTTACTTTTGAAAGAAGTTTTACTGCTTCACTCAGAATCTGTCTCCTTATGTCCAATTTTGAACAACAAAATAATTCCCCTGAATTCCTCTATGATCATGTTACTCTATATCCTTTTGCCAGAATCTGTAGTGTTACTAAAGGTTACATGCTAGAAACTACAGTGTTACTGTGTGCTGTATCTCTTCTTAATTTTATCTCCAGTACCCGCTCAGGAAATAATTTAATGGGTATCTACTATGTGCCAACCAGTGCCACAGACACAATGAGGCTCAGAATTGCCTTCATTCATGGAGCAGGTTTAAAAGGCATGAGGTGACGGGTTTGATAAAATATTAATAACAACTAGATTTGTTAGGATAATCTCTATATGACAAGAACCATGTACGGTTTCTTCTTTTGGTTTCTGAATCACTTCTGTGGATGCATAATAAGTGCTTAATGGTAATCTGTAGGCACCATGGCAATAATAAAGAGGTTTTATTGCTCTAGGAGAAAATAAACATGAACAATTTACTAATACCAAAGGAATTGGATAGACATTTACTCTTACTATGTATAAATATTTAGTATTACTATTAATGTCCAAGTGGATTAAAATGAGCTCCCATTGATATGTGAAGGCCATTTCTGTAATTCTTGCTCTCAAGAGGATGAAACAGTAGGATCCTGAGTTTAAGGCCAGCCTTGACTCCATAATAAGACTTTCTCAATGACATAACATAAAGTAAGCTTTCAGGTCCTGTTATATTTGAAAGGGGTTGAAAGAAAAATGAAACACGATTTCACCCCTCAAAAATGTTACTGTCTTTAGGGGCAGATGGAAGAAACGCAATGAGAAGGTGGGGTAAGTGCCAGGTGTCACTTGCTGTATGGGCTGTCAGGATGCAGGAATGAGCACTGCACAGTGAAGTGTCCATGGTCAAAAAAGGCTTCTGAAAGAGAGACATTGACTGAGCAAAGTAGGGAAGATGGTTTAGCCAAGGGCATCACAGTATGCAGAGTTCTAGCAGAGAAGGAAAGTTTGGCATGTGAATGTGCATGACTGGGTTTCTTGTTTCTTTGTTTAATCTATGACAGATTGCAGTTAGTGTTATTTCTTAGAATTAAAAAAGAAAATGTTTTCCCAGAGAGCCTCTGTGCTCCCTATTCCTTCTGCTCCAACAATTACCACTTGCATCCATTTCTGCCCTCTCCTCTCCACTGCTGTCTTTTTACCTTTGAGAACATGCACTATTCCATACATGTCGTGAGCACCTGCTGTGTGCAGACGATGCTAAACCCAAAGAATACAAAGACAAAAGTATATATTTCAAGTTCACATGAAAATGAGAAGCACATTACTGTATATGTATGTGTGTGTGTGTGTGTGTGTGTACGTACATTGTTACTACACAGTACACTGTTACTACACTTGTAGACTAGGCTTCTATCCAAATTGAAGGAAGTGCTCAGTGAATATCTCAATTTGAATCTTTTTTTAAAGCATCATCGTCTGATAAACCCAAATGTAGCCTTTCTCTACTGTACTGGAAAATACCTGTGAAGATATAAAAAAAGACATAAACTCATTGCATCTTTGAAAATTAAGATGATACTCAACTAGAAAAAACTAGATATACCCAATGAGATTCTGAGAAGATTTTTCAGGACCTAAAGGACTAAGGGAACTTCTTTGATAAATGTAATGTAGGACATATGAAAAAAATATGCCTACGACCTGGGGTGAAATTGAACCTCTCCACTGTGAAAACATCTGTCCTTCACAGCCTAAATAAACACTGGCCAGCTATTCACCTTTCTACTGCTCATGGCCAGGTTTTATAGTGTGTGGGTGTTTTGTGAAGCATTGAGTGAGTTTACCTCCTCAGAGCCTCCCTCCTAGATGAGCCACTCACTGTGCTTCATTTAGTTTAGTCTGTTTGAAACCAAGAATCTGGCTGGGCCGGAGAGTGGCTCAGGATGAACAGAGGGCTGACATTTTAAGGCTCCTGCACAGAATTCTGCTTCTGGGCAGAGCAGGAAGAGCCCCGAAAGTTCTGTGGACTTAGAAAGAGAGTTATTTGAGGACTGGGAAGAAAGCCAGGCAGTAGTGATCTGCTTGAGTCTTACAGTGCTGCATGGACTGTGGTAATAGCATCTAGTCACAGATTGTAAGGGGCAAATCCAAGTGTGCCATGGTTGAGGCTGAGCATAAAGCATGCTGGGAAACACTGGAGATGTTTAGCTCTTTAGTTAGGGTAGATTTTAAAAACAGTAAGTCCTACAGAAAAAGAAAAAAAAACCACATTGAAGACAAAGAAAAAAGTGCTATTTGAACTCTTAGTGAAAGGCCTCTTGAAAATAGTAAATATTAAAAGCAAAAGAAAATATTATTGAGTACACAACATATTCAAGAAAATCCTTAAAAACATGTCTTTATGAGATATAACAGAAGCTTACACAAAGAATGAACAGATATGAATGGTCAGGCATGAGAAGAAAGGGAATGACAACTCTGAATACAGTAATGAAATCAAAACTGTCACTGGAAGCAAGAAAATATGTAATTTTCACTGAAGAAAATATGATCAGAATTGTCATAAGATTTGCAGTGAACTTTAAATTTACTCTACTTGAAAGCATTTTGAGGAAATAGTATGGCTTGTTTACTTCTTTAATCTCACTAGTCTCTGTCAGATAATTTCCTTGTAGTCAAATAAGTAGTGCAGCTTTTAATTGCCAAGTGAGGAATAAAAGCTGCTACCCAAGCTAATGCCAAGAAGGAAAAGGACTAAAATAAACTGAATCCTGAGGCTTGTCACAGGATTTACCTCAACTCCTGACCTAGACTTTGTGAAATACATTGAGGACTGTGAAAAGGTGTCCCCAAAGATCTGCCAACTGGGGTCTAATATGAAGCAATGCTCTTCCACCCAGCATTCACTTCTGTGCTCCTCTCACCACTGGTGTTGTCACTCACCCTCCCATTTTTACCCTAACTATGGGCTTTGGATCAATGCTCTGCTCTGTCCCCTCTTGGTAATGGTACTGGTTTCCTTCCAATTCTTATTGCTGTTTTAACAAGTGTCTTAAATCTATCCTAGGTCCTTAGATTCACATGCAGGAAGGAAACATACCCAGGAATCTTCTCATTTTGCTTATTAAGAATCCTTTGTTTTCCTCTGGCACTTGTTGTCTCCTACTATGGGAGAAGCTGTTTAATTTTTCCTTCATGGTTAAAGCATCAAGCTGCACCACAGGCTGAGGCAGTGGAAAGAAAAGGTGGGCAATTTAATGGTGTTCTAGACTAAGTACCTACTAGGTTTTTCTCCTTTTCACTTGATAAGTAAGTGCACAAGGAAAGGAGAAGGCACTCTCAGACAGAAGCACTGTCTGAAAGCAACAGAAACATCGGAAGTAACAGCCAGTATAAAACATTTAATACTAGTGATCTTACTTTCTTTTACAATAAAGCAAAAATAATACATGCTTTTAAATTAGGGAAATGTCATGGTCACACAGGAGCCCACAGGTTGCCACCTGTGTCCCCCAACAGACAAATGGTACAGCCAAAAATCATTAGCTAACTAAAGCA